GTCACATAGGGAAGGTGGTAGTCAATTTGCACTCAGCAAGATCCTACAGTCAGCAGCATGACTGTTCCTGACACTGGTGTTTGAGGCTAAATATTGACTGGGACATCAGGAAATAGCGGATGTGGAACCTTTCACATTCACTTGCTAGTGTTGCCAGGGGCTCAGTTTAATATCTCTTCCAAAGGATGGCATCACTAATAGCACTCCCTCAATATTATTTATGTGGCAAAGCAGATCAATGCACCAGTGTTCTCACTGCTGACATTGCCCCCTTCTACATCGGTGCTCAGGCAAACCTGGGGAAGCAAATGACCCTACCGGCAGACTGAATTCTAAGAAAAAGTCAAAGAATTCCAAAAAAGACCTGTCTCCTCATTGCCCGTCCAACATCTACAAGGCACAAGTCAGGAACATGATGGAATGGTGCGGATCCAACAACGCTCAAGAAGCTTGGTACCATCCAGGACAAAGCAGCCCACTTGACTAGCCCTGCATCCACCACATTCAACATTCATTCCCTCCCTCACTGATGCTCAGTAACAGCAGTGTACCATCTACAAGGTGCACTGCAGCAACTTCTCAAGACTCTCCTGACAGCACCTTCCAAACCAATAAACCCATAACTACTTCCATCTAGAAGGACAAGGGCAGCAGATGCATAGGAACACCACCCCTGCAAGTTCCCTCCAAGCCATTCACCATCCTGACTTGGAAATATGTTGTTGTTCCTTCAGTGTTGCTGGGTTATAATCCTGGAACTCCCTCCCTAACACCATTGTGGGTTCACCTTTACTGAATGCACAGCAATAGTTCAAGAAGGCAGCTCACTACCACCTTCTGCAGGACGATTAGGGAAACTGAACAAATGCTGGCCTGCCCAGGGATACTCACCTCCCATAAATAAGTTTTTAAAAATTCCCAGCCCTCTCAGAACAGTCAATCCCAACACTGAGAAATCTTCTGGATTTGTGGTATTAGGTTTTGCTGTCTGGTTCTTACTACCTAATGTTGAGGGCTTTTCAGCTTCCAAGTGATGCCTCTTTAGATGTCTTGCTACCCAACACTATATCATCCACCCACAAGATCGGTCTGACATCTTCATCTCTGCTCTGGGTGCATCAGCTTGGAATCAGTGCCCAGGTCTTGGCTGTTGGATAAAAACACACAACATTCTGAACTACAGGTAAGAGCATTACACACTGAGTCCCAGCTGGCACAAAGCAACAAGTGCTCAATTCATTTAGGGTTCACTGACGGAAACTCTGAAGGGTACTGAATGCGTAACCATTTCAAACATTAACCTGCCAATTGCTGACTGACCTCTCAGTCCAGCATTTACCATTTTCTCTCAGATTTCCAATAACTAACAACTTGTTTTCCAAATTTTGGTATGTTTGTTACGCTTGCCTTTATTGGTCAATGCATTGAGTATAGGAGTTGGGAGGTCATGTTGTGGCTGTTCAAGACATTGGTTAGGTCAGTTCTGGAATACTGTGTGCGATTCTGCTCTCCCTGCTATAGGAAGGATGTTGTGAAACTGGAAAGTGTTCAGAAAGATTTACAAGGATGTTGCCAGTGTTTCAGGGTTTGAGCTATAGAGAGAGGCTGAATAATTTGGGGCCATTTTCCCTGGAGTGTTGGAGGCTGAAGGATGACCTTATAGAAGTTTATAAAATCATGAGGGGCATGGACAGGGTAAATAGACAATGTTTTTTCATCCGGGTGAGGGAGTCCAAAACTAGAGTTTTGATGGTGAAGAATTTGTCAAATGTGTTCAAGAAAACTGTCTTTATTAATATGTGGAAGCTTCAACCGGAAAAGGAGAAAAACTAGGCCTTCTTTTGGGCAATAAGGCAGGGCAGGTGACTGAAGTAAAAGTGGGGGAACACTTTAGGTCTAGCGATCATAATTCCATTAGCTTCAAAACGGTTATGGAAAAGGCTAAGCCTTCCGTAAAAGTTAAAGTTTTTAATTGGAGTAAGGCAAATTTTAATGGTATGCGTAAAGAACTTTAAAAAGTTGATTGGAGTAGACTGTTCACAGGTAAAAGGACATCTGACAAGTGGGAGTCATTCAAGACTGTGATGACAAGAATTCAGAGGCATATTGTTCCTGTTGGAGTGAAGGGTAAAGCTGGTAAGATTAAGGAACAATGGATAACAAAGCTATTGAGGTTCTAGTCATGAATAAAAGTATCTTATTTTTGATATAGACAACTTGGTTCAATTGAATCTCTTAATCAATATAACGAATGTAGGGGCATTCATAAGAGACAAATCAAAATGGCAAAGAGGGGATATGAGATAGCATTGGCAGATAAGGTTAAGGATAATCCAAAGAGATTCTGCAAATACATTAAGAGCAAGAAGGTAACTAGAGAGGGGGTTGGGCCTCTTAAAGATCAAGGAGGTTGTCTTTGTATTGAACCCCAGGAGAAGTCATTTTTACTGTGGAGAAAGAAATGGAGTCTAGAAAATGCAGGGAAATAAACTTTGATGTTTTAAAAAACAGTTGACATTACAGAAGAGGAGGTTTGGGAGGTCTTAGAGAATATAAAGGAGGATAAACCTCCAGGACCTGATCTAATGTATCCCAGAACATTGTGGGAAGTAAGTGAGGAAATTATGAGACCCCTTTCAGAAATATTTCCATTACCTATAACTACAGATGAGGTGCCTGATGACTGGAGGGTGGCTAATGTTGTATCTTTGCTTAAGAAAGATTGTAAGGAGAAACCGGGGAACTATAGACCTGTGAGTCTGACTTTGGTTGTGGGTAAATTGTTGGAAGTGATTATAAAAGATAGGAATTATGGACATTTAAGGAGGCAAAAATTGAATTGGGATAGTCAGTGTGGTTTTATGCAAGGAAAATTGTGTCTCACAAACTTGATCATGTTTTTGAGGAAGTTACCAAAAGATTTGATGATGGCAGAGCAGTAGATGTTGTTTATTTGGATTTTAGTAAAGTCTTTGACAAGATTCTACATGTAGACCATTAGTAAAGTTAGGTCACATGGGATTCAGGGTGAGCTTGCCAGTTGAATATATAATTGGCTTAACGGCAGGAGACAGAGAGTAATTGTGGAGGGTTGCTTTTCAGACTGGAGGCCTGTGATCAGCAGTGTTCCACAGGGATCAGTCCTGAGTCCTCTTTTGTTTGTCGTTTATATAAATGATTTGGATGAGAATATAGAAGGCATGGTTAGTAAGTTTGCGAACGACATCAAAATTGGTGGCATGGTAGACAGTGAAGAAGGTTTCCTAAGATTACAAACGGATCTTGATCAAATGGGTCAATGGGCTGAAATATGGCAGATGGAGTTCAAGCTGGATAAATGTGAGGTATTGCATTTTGGTACAAGAAACAAGGGTATTAATGATAGGCCTTGGATAGCAGTGTAGAACAGAGGAACCTAGGGTTCCAGGTACATAATTCTTTGAAGTTTGCTTCACATATAGACAGGGTGGTTAAAAAGGCATTTGGCACACTGGCCTTTGTTGCTCAGCCCTTTGAGTATACGAGTTAGGAAGTCAGGTTGAGGTTGTACAGGACATTGGTGAGGCCTGTTCTGGAGTACTGTGTCCAGTTCTGGTTGCCCAGTTATAGGAAAAATATTATCAATCTGGACAGGGTTCAGAAAAGATTTATCAGGACTTTGCTGGGTATGGAAGGTTTGAGTTATAAAGAAAGGCTGGATAGGCTGGTACTTTTTTCACTAGAGCATAGGAGGTTGAGAGGCGATCTGACAGAAGTTTATAAAATAATGAGGAGTATAGATAGAACTAATGACAGTTGTCTTTTCCCTAGGATGGGGGAATTTCAAGACTAGGGGGCACGGTTTTAAGATGAGAGGAGAGAGATTTAAAAAAGACATAAGAGGCAAATTTTTTACACAAGAGGGTGGTTCGCATGTGGAATGAACTTCCTGAGGAAGTGGTGGGTGTGGGTAGAATTACAACGTTTAAAAGATATTTGGATAGATACATGAATAGGAAAGGGTTGGAGGGATATGGGCCAGGAGCAGGCAGGTGGGACTAGTTTAGTTTGGAATAAATGTTCGGCATGGACTCGTTGGGCCGAAGGGTCTGTTTCCGTGCTGTACAACTCTATGACTATGGCTCTAGAGGGCATAGGTTTAAGGCGAGAGAGGAAAGACTTAAAAGTCAAAAAGGGATTTAAAAGGAAGGGTTTAAGAGGGATATGGGCCAACTGCTGGCTAATGGGACTAGATTTATTTAGGATATCTGGTCAGCATGGACAAATTGGACTGAAGGGTCTGTTTCCAGGCTGCACAGCTCTATGACTGTATCTCCTTAGTTGCCATTTCTGAAAACATAGTCCAGCATCTTAGAGTGTTTGTCCTGCGGAGCACAATACGATGAATGGCTTTATTCCAGTCATTTACAGTTAATAGCACCAGGAGCAGTACATTTACAGGCTGTGGAGATGTCCAATGCTGCTTCTGAAAATAAGGAAAAGACCAGGAAGATTTCAGCCCATCGTTATACCGAGCGAAATCCCACATCCTCCAGTGTGTTTACAGAATGACACAGTGAGCTGAGAAAATCTCCCAGTGTGTTTACAAAATTGTTAACACAGAGCAAACAGGAGAAACGTTAAAGCGTGCTACAACATAGCAATCGGAGGAAGTCTAGAAGGCTTACAATGTTGGTACACAGTGAGCTGAGGAATCTGGCTCCACACAGTAGCAACAACAATGGCTGGGCTCTCGTATATAATTGGAGTGAGTTACCATCAACAGGGTAAATTGGACAATCTGGCAAAATTGTTGCATGCATCAATCCAAGTATTACACAGAAGAAATGTACAAAATAATACCTTAGAATACGCAAATCATACGTTGATATTATTTCAATGTTGCTTTTCTGATGGAAATATATTCTGCTGTCAGTTGAAATTCATATAAGAAAACAGTAAGGGATGCCACCTACACTTGGTGGTAAAGAATCCCATCAGTCTCTCTTCTTGTGGCTAGGCTAGATTACAGCTGTAACACGGGCCAGCCTGGGCTCGGGGTCCTGTTCATATCTGTACTGGTAACCATCCATCTGATCGTGGCAAGCATATCGGAAATTTCTGGCCCATCTCTTTAGGCCTCTCCTGTTCAAGTACAAGACCATGACAAAGGTGGCCGCGATAAGAGCTAAGACAATCCCAAGGAACACGAAGGAAGCTGCCGTGTCCTCCGGACACACAAGATGTTCAGGTCTGAGTTGGCTGAGGATGCTTCCATTCAAGGTACTGGGGCCGAAGCAAGTGAGCAGCTGCCCATCACCGATCTGGGACGTGTTCCTGACCCACCAGTACACAGGGCGAAGCTCACAGTCACACATCCATGGGTTGGAGGACAAGTAAACCTTAAGCTTGTAGTGGCTCTGCCAAAGGGTGATGGTCTGCTTTGTGATACTCTGCAACAGGTTGCTCCTTAGATCCAACAGCTGCAAGCTGCCGGTGGACATTGCTTCTTCTGAAAGCTTGGTTAGGTAGTTCCCGGCCACGTGGAGCTTAGTCAGGCTGGGGAGATTACTGGGATGCAACGCGGGCCACAGCTGATCCTCCACTGATGGCTCAAGAGCATAGTTCATGCTTAAACTGTGCAGCTGGCAAAGACCAAGGAACGCGTCTGCGGCAATGGATGCTAAGGCGTTGCCACTTAGGTTCAAGGTACTGAGGTTGGCTAAGCCTTCAAAGGCAGAGGGCTCGATGCCTTCGATCTGGTTTCCCGGGAGAGAGAGCGTTCCCAGATAGAAGAACCCGGATCCATTGCCCTCAAAAGCCGACCTCCTCAGGAGCGAGATATTGTTGCCGGTGATGAGCAGGTTCTGGGTGCTCGGAGGAATTCCCCACGGGATCTGGGTCAGGTTGGTGTTCTTGCACTCCACCAACCTTGACTTGTCCATGCACTTGCACTCTGATGGGCAGGGGCACACCCCAGGCCAGGACACTATAACGCCAAGCACAGCTACGGAGAAGGCCCAGAGGGGCATTCGGTTTTGCCTGAGGTAAGTGCTCCACAGCTTCACTCCGTTCATCATTCAGCAGTTTCAACATGAAAAACAACGAAGGATTTGGCAAACCCCAGTACGCAAGGGAAAAACAAAAACACTTTGCCTGTACAGGGCTCTGTCCCTGAAGAGAAGCAAAGAAAATTTAACCCGAGCTAGGCTGCTTCAGATAAAGACCAGCACTGCAAAGACCAACTCTACAAAACCGAACCAGCTATTCATTCGCCCTCCTCATTCACTCTCTGACCCTCCTCAGCCACATCTCTGACTGCTTTTATTCATACATTACACCACTTGACGCAGACAGAGTTCCCCTGAAAAGGGTTCGGATGCTCCCAGCTCTTTTTCCAAGGCTTTGACAGATTTGCTTCTGTGAAGATTTTGTTGTTGTTGATGAATAGATTGCTGCCTGCTTGATGACCCAACTCCACCTCCTTCAAGTCATATATCAGGACTATTAGATTTTCTCCACAATTGATTTATTCACCAGCTTCTCCCCTGATGCACAGTCTAAGGATTCATTATCGGCAGCTTTCTGTGAATCCAAGATTGATAACAGACCACTGAGTACTTACAGCGCAGCAACAGGCCATTCAGCCCACTGATCCATGCTGGTACTTATGATAAATATAAGGCACCTCCACCCTATCTTGTCTAACCCCATCAGTACACCCTTCTCTTTGCTTCCTTGTGCACTTTATCTGCTTTCCCCTTGATAGTCTCGAGACTGTCCATTGCAACCCCTCCCTGTGGCAGTGAGTTCCACATTCTCACTGCTCCCTGTGTAAAGAAGCTTCTCCTGAATTCCTGATTGGATTTATTGGCTGCTGTCTTATATTGACAGACCATTAGTTATATGTTGGCTCAATTCATCATTTCAAATCGGAAGTCAACATATTTAAGTTAACTCAGGGGCATAGATTCTGAAGAAGGGTCACTGGACCTGAAACGTTAACTCTGATTTCTCTCTACGGGTGCTGCCAGACCTGCAGAGCTTTATCAGCAAGTTCTGTTTCTGCTTCTGGTTTCCAACATCCACGGTTCTTTTTCTTGTTTTTGCGAGCCCAGGAATTGGCTTCAGTGAACAGTATCAATATACTCAAGGGTGAAGCTGGATAAACACATGGGGGAGGTGATGTTCAGTGGGAGGAATAGCACGACATACTGATAGGGCTGGATAAGGTGGAGTGTTTTCAGGAAAGATGTGGGGAGCGAGTGGCACAGGGGTAATGTCACTGGACCTGAGGTTCAAGTTAAAGCTCTGTAGACAGGTTTGAATCTCAGCACAGTAGAATGTAAATCCGCTAATAGCTCTGGAATTTAAAACCAGTCTCAGTAATGGTGACCATGAAACTTTCACTGTTAGATGTAAAACCACATCTGGTTTATTAATGCCTTTTAGGGAAGGAAATCTGATGTGTTGACCTGGTCTAACCTACATGTGAATCCAGACCCACTACAATGTGGTTGACTCTTTAGTGCCCTCTGAAGTTGCCTAGGCACCAGAAATTAAAATGGCAAAACAGCCTTGTTAAACCTGCAAAGTCCTGCTTGCTATTGTGTAGAGCTAGTGCCAAAATTGGGAGAGCTGTCTCACACACTAGACAAGCAACAGCCTGACATAGTCATACTCACAGAATCATACTTTTCAGACAATGTCCCAGACATCACCATCAGCACCATCCCTGATATGTCCTGTTCCACCAGCAGGATAGACCCTGCAGATATGGTGGAACAGTGGTATATAATCAGGAGTGAGTTGCCCTGGGAGACCTCAACATTGACGCCAGACCCCATGAAGTCTTATGCCTTCAGGTTAAACTTCGGCAAGGAAACCTCCTACTGATTAGCATGTACTGACAAATCAGTATGCTTCTGTGTTGAACACTTTGAGGAAACGCTGATAGTGGCAAGGGCACAAAATGTACTCTGGGTGGGGGATTTCAATGCCCATCACCAAGCGTGGCTCGGCAGCAGTACTACTGATCGGGCTGGTCGAATCCAAAAGGACATAGCTGCTAGATTGGGTCTGCAGCAGGTGGTGAGGAAACCAACAAGAGGGAAAAACATACATGGTCTCATCCTTACCAATCTGCCAGCTGCAGATGTATCTGTCAATAACAGTATCAGTAAGAGTGACCACTGCACAGTCCTTGTGGACACGAAGCCCCACCTTTACATTGAGAATAACCTCGATCGTGTTGTGTTGCTCTATCACCGTGCTAAATGAGACAGACTTCGCACAGATCTAGCAACTCAAGACTGGGCATCCATGAGGCGCTGTGGGCCATCAACAACAGCAGAATTGTACTCCAGCACAATCTGTAACCTCATGGCCCGGCATATCCCCCACTCAACCATTACCATCAAGCCAGGGGATCAACCCTGGTTCAATGGAGAGTGAAGGAGTAGCGCCAGGCATACCTGAAAGTAAATTCCAACCTGATGAAGCTATAACACAGCACTAAACAGTGAAAGCAACATGCAACAGGCAGAGCTAAGCAAACCCAAATCCAATGGATCAGATCAAAGCTCTGTAGTCCTGCCACATCCAGTCATGAATGGTAGTGGACAATTAAAACAACTCACTGCACGAGGAAGTTCCACAAATATCTCTATCCTCAAAGATAGAAGAGCTGAAAACAACAGGCCAAAAGATAAGGCTGAAGCATTCACAACAATGCTCAGCTGGAAGTGCCAAGTAGATGATCCATCTCAGTCTCCTCCAGTGTTCCCCAGCATCACAGATGCCAGTCTTCAGCCAATTCAATTCACTCCAAAAACAGTCATAGAGCTGTACAGCTCTTCAGTCCAACTTGTCCATGCCAACCAGATGTCCTAAATTAATCTAGACCCATTTGCCAGCATTTGGCCCTTATCCCTCTAAACCCTTCCTATTCATATACCCATCCAGATGCCTTTTAAATGTTGTAATTGTACCAGTCTCCACCACTTTCTCTGGCAGCTCGTTCCATACACACACCACCCTCTGCATGAAAAAGTTACCCCTTAGGTCCCTTTTAAATCTTTGCCCTCCCACCTAAAACCTATGTCTTCTAGTCTGTACTCCCCCACTCCAGGATAAAGACCTTGGCTATTCATTCCATCCACACCACAAATGATTTTACAAACTTCTATAAGGTCATCCCTCAGTCTCCAACAGTCCAGAGAAAATAGCCCAAGCCTATTCAGCCTCTCCCAATAGCTCAAACCGCCAACCTCTGGCAATATTCTTGTAAATCTTTTCTGAACTCTGTCAAGTTTCACAACATCCTTCCTCTAGCAGGGAGACCAGAATTGCACACAGTATACCAAAAATGGTCTAACCAAAGTCCTGTACAGCCACATGACCTCCTAACTCCTATACTCAATGTACTGACCAATAAAGGCAAGCATACCAAATCCCTTCTTCACTACCCTATCTACCTGCGACTCAACTTTCAAGGAACTATGAACATGCACTCCAAGGTCTCTTTGTTCAGTAACAATTCCCAGGATCTTAACATTAAGTGTACAAGTCTTGCCCTGATTTGCCTTTCCAGAATGCATCACCTCACATTTATCTAAATTAAACTCCATCTGCCACGCCTCAGCCCATTGGCCCATTTGATCAAGATCCTTTTGTAGTCTGAGGCAACCTTCTTCGCTATGCATTACACCTCCAATTTTGGTGTCATCTGCAAACTTACTAACCATACCTTCTGTGTTCACATCCAAATCATTTATATAAATAAAAAATAGCAGTGGACCCAGCACCGATCCTTGTGGCACACCACTGGTCACATGTCTCCAGTCTGAAAAGTAACCCTCCATCACTACCCTCTGTCTTCTACCTTCGAGCCAGTTCTGCATCCAGATAGCTAGTTCTCCGTGTATTTCGTATGATCTAACCTTGCTAACCAGTCTATCCTGCGGAACCTTGTTGAACACCTTACTGAAGTCCATATAGATCATGTTCACCGCTCTACCTTCATCAGTCCTCTTTGTTACTTCTCCAATAATCTCAATCAAGTTAGTGAGACACAGCTTTCCACGCACAAAGCCATGTTGACTATCCCTAATCAGTATTTGCCTTTCCAAATACATGTAGATCTTGTCCCTCAGGATTCCCTCCAACAACTTGCCCACCACCGATGTCAGGCTCACAAGTCTATAGTTCCCTGGCATTTCCTTACCTCCTTTCTTAAATATTGGCACCATGTTAGCCAACCTCAAGGCTTCTCTACCTCACTTGTAGCTATCAATGATACAATTATCTCAGCAAGGTGCCCAGCAATCACTTCCCTAGCTTCCCAGAGTTCTAGCATACACCTGATCAGGTCCTGGGGATTTATCCACCTTTATGCATGTTAAGACATCCAGTAGATGTTTCCCCTCCCCGTTCCATATCCTTCCATTTCCTTCTCCACAGTAAACAGTGATGCAAAATGGTATCAAGAAATGGTTGAAAGCATTTGTTACTGCAAAGACTATGGGCTCTGACAACATTCTGGCAATAGTACTGAACACTTGTGCACTAGAACTAAACATAAACCTAGACTAGCTGTTCAGTACAGTCAAAATACTGCCATAAAGGAAAAAAGCAGGACAAATCCAATCCATCCAAGTTACTTAATCAGATCCTACCGATCACTTAATCTGAACTACCAACATCCCTTCTTCCCCAGCACTCCAAACCCTACACACCCCACCATTGCATAAATGCTGTCCCCTCCACGCTTCACTGCAGCTCTGATGAAGAATCATCTAGACTCGAAATGTTTAGCTTGCTTTCTCTCCATGGATGCTGCCTGACCCGCTGTGATCTCCAGCATTTTTTATTTTCAGTTCAGATTCCAGCATCTGCAGAAATTTTCTCCTGCAGCTACTACCTCATCTGTCTACTCTTGATCCTTTGTGAGGTCAGATGTGGGGATGTTCACTGATAATTGCACTATGTTCAGCACCATTCATGACTCCTCAGATAATGAAATAGTCAATGTTCAAATGCAACATGCCCTGGACAATACCCAGCATGGGTTAGTAAGCAG